CATTGTCTGCAGGTATATCCAGAGCACATGTGCCACTTCTGGAGAATGGCTGTATGAAGGACTTGATTGGCTCTCTAACAACATAGCTAATAAGGTATGCCTGCAATTTCTGTAAATGGCATTTACACATTCCACAAAATTCTTATGTATTTATCTAACATCTGAACATTTATATTTTATATACATAGCACTCAATTCTTTAGCATTACATCAAAAATACCACCATCAATATTTTCTTAAAGTGAAACACACCTTCTTATTCATAGGTTTATAAAACCAAGGTGTTACATGTGTAAATATTAAATTTTGGGTGTTTATATGTTAATGCATTAGAATTGTGTGGTATATATGTAAATTTCCGAATCACCAATAACTATTGCTAACCAGACCTGTGTATTTTTGTTGGTTTAGAAGATGGAATTTGGTGTTTGATAGCATTGTTATGTATTTGTGTTATAAGTAGAAGAAAAATGCTCAAATAAAGCTCTCACTAAACACGCTGAAATGAACTTATCCACTAAATACTCAATGCACAATCTTCCCCTCACGCTCACAGTCACTCCACTCACTCAAACTTCACACACACACACTTTAAATCCTTCCCCTAACATAACTCCACCCCATATATTATGCTCCAGCATGTGTTAATATACAACTGAAACCATCAAATCCAGCCCTGTATGGACCAAAACCGAGCCAACAAATGTAAAAATAACTTCCAGCATTTATTTAGGGAGCCATAAGAGTAGTAAAGCTGCATAATGAAGTCCCAAATGTTTAAGATGTATATTTACACATGAAGGAAATATCAGCACATCAGAGCTGAAAGTTGGATGAAAGAAGAATAGAATATCCAGCATGTGTTAATTCTATCTATCTATCTATCTATCTATGTATATATATTGTTGTGATATAAGTAGAAGAGAAAAGCTCTCAGCAAAAATGCTGAAATGAACGCATCCACTTAACACGAACTGCACAATCTTTCCCTCACGCTCACAGTCAATCCACTCACTCATACTTCACACACACACCCTTTAAATCCTTCCCATAACATAACTCCACCCCATCATGTTTAAATATACAACTGAAACCATCAAATCCAGCCCTGTAGGGACCAAAACCGAGCCAGCAAATGTCCAAATAACTTCCAGCATTTATTTAGGGAGGCATAACAGTAATAAAGCTGCGGAATGAAGTCCCAAATTCATTTAGGGACCAAAACCGAGCCAACAATGTATATATATATATATATGAAGTCCCAAATTCAGCATTTCATGTAGCAAATAAAAATAGAGAAATGAATTTTCCATTGCTTCTCATATGTGCTTCAGCTACCCAATTCGAATCAAAGCTTTTAAAACCGAAATCCCCAATTTTATAACCATTCAAGTTTATGCTTAGATGGTGAGAAAAGGATCGAACATAGCCGAAATTGACCACGTAAGGTGGAAAAAGTAAATACATAAGAATTATATGATCAGTATGCAAATGCTCTGCATAATCTGCATTCAAAGATAAACCATGAAGGCCCAAATTTTGCATTCGCATATATGGAAATGCCCCTTCAAAATTAAAAGCTCAACGATAAGAAGATGAAAAAAATTACAAAAATACATACAGAGCTCCGTGAGTTCGAATCAAAGCTTTTAACCAAAACCGAAATCCCTAATTCTATAACCATTCAAGGTTTTGCTTAGATGGTTAGAAAAAGGATCAAACAGAGCTCCCTGATCGAATGAAATCTTAACCAAAACCGAAATCCAGCACTGTAGGGACCAAAACCGACCCAAACAAATGAAAAAATAAGCCATAAGAATAACAAAGCTCAAGAATTTGTACTGATTCTTTTATAACCACCATATGAACAGAAATAACTGTGACAGAGATCGAACACGGCCTCCGGGAAGGAAGGAGACGGATATCGGGTAGGGCAAGAGTGAGGGGTCGAAAAAAAAATACCTCATATCACGGATCACAGCTTCAGGCAAGCTCGAAACCGAAGGCGAGACGGGAAGGGCGAGGGCAAGGGGGAGAAACGGGAAGGACAACACGGGAAAAACAACCTAAACGCGAGAAGCATACGCGGAACGGCGCCCCTAACCGGATTATCCCGTCCTTAAGGAAATAGCGGTATTAAAACGACGCGTTTTAAAAACTTATCATGCGAACGGAATTTTCAAACGGAAGGGCGGCGTTTTCAAAACGCCGCCGCTTCCCAAACGCGCCCCCAAACGGGCCCTAACTCTTGGAGCCGTTTTGACACCCTACTCTGCGTCCAGCCATATAAGCCTCGGAGAATAGCTATCTGCTGTGGGGGAACAGAGTCGCGAGCTAAGACGATGGATTCCTCCTTATCTATTTCTCCGTTCTCCTCTTTGCCGACCAAAATTTCTCCTGTAAAAATCCCGAGGTACGTTTTAAACCTTCTCCTCCTCCATTGCATTCCCTGTGTTTCCATGATAATTTTTTATACCCCTCTCAATTTCCAATTCGATATGAACCGTTTGTAGAAATTTAGGTTTGGTCTCAAGCCCCAAACGTGTTCATTGGATGAGCTTTCTTTCCTGTCCCACAAGGCTTACCTAGGGTTAGGTTTTTCTGGCTGGGTTTTTGGCTGGCTAGCTCTAGAAGAATTTTGTTAGTGCTTTTTTGTGAATGTTTGAAGGATAAACATGAGTGTGATGATGCCAATGGCTCATTTCTTTATTTATTACTTTCATTTTTTAAATGATGTAGTCATTATCGAAACTGATATGAGAGTAAGATCTAGCAAGAATGTTGCTAACCAGCAGGGTAGACTGACCATGCGTGGGGATGCAGAAATGGTAAGGTGAGAGTACACCCTTGCCTAAGGTCAACAGTAGAGGGGAATCCCATTGATAAAGATTGACTAGTGCACGTCAGAAATACGTGAGTGTATCCAAGAAACAAAGAAAAGGGGAATTCCCTTGAGTAGCAATCTGTCTATTTTTGAAGAATTTTGATTCGGTTTTATGAGTGAAAAGGCATCACATTTTTCAATTTGTTGGCAAGCAGCTAGGCAATGAATTTGTAGATTGAATTGCAGAAATTTCACCTGCAAGTGTTGTTTGTGAAAAATGAAGAATTGTCTTGGCCATAGTTTTCTTTGGCAGCTTTTTACAAAGAAAGAAGTGATTAACCACATCACATACACTTTTAACAATCACATCCCAAGAAGATGAGAGGAATTAAAAAATAAAACCGTCATGCCAAGAGCTGAGTTTATGAGAGAATCAAATATAACCTGTTTGATTCATCATTTGAAATTGGGTAGTTAAGGTCTACAATAGGTGAGTAGGGTTGACCATCTGTTGGGATGACATGATTATGTGGTCAGCAGAAATATTACCAATTTCTGAATCGAATTATAAAAATCGTTTTTGGTGAGAGCCGTGTGTGTGGGCGGGTTAGGGGGGTTTGTGTGTGTGCGTGTAGAAAATTCATTAACATTGAAAAGTTTAATGGCTAGGATTCTGGCGAACTTCTTCTAATTTATAATAAAAAATTCTTAAAGCTTGTTTTCACTTAGATGTTTTACAAAGTACTTTTGAAGTTTTTTTTTTCATGCGTTGTTAGGGGGATAAGGGAATTGGGAACAAATATATTGAAATGAAAGAGATGTTACAATTAAACAAAAAGAAAGAGTTACAAAATTAGAAACATACTTCCAACGTTGGAGAAACTACTTCATTTTTAGCCAGATGCAAGCAAAAAAATTGTTTTTTGTTACTATGTCTTTTTCAAGCTTTTTTTCCTATTGCCATTATTTGACAAATTTTTTATTTATATGCCTAAAACTTGATGGCCACAATCTCTTTACTTTTATCATCTCTAGTAGTTTCTACTTTTCTTCCTTCATCTTCACAATGCTATATTTCTCTAATCATATAGGAAATTGGAAATAATAGCTCAAATATATTGAAATGTAAGAGATGTTTCAATGCTACAAAAAGAAAAATTATTGCAAAGTTAGAGAAGTACTTCCAACATTAGAGAAGCTACTTCATTTCTAGCCATATGCAAGGCAAAAAATTTGTTTGTTACTATGCTATTTTCAGATTTTTTTTTCCTATTTCTATTTTTTAACGGGTTTTTCATTTATATGCACAAAACTTGATGTCCAGGATCTCTTTATATTTATCATCTCTAGTAGTTTGTATTTTTCTTCCTTAATGTTCACTATGTTATATTTCTTTAAGCATAGTGTTTTTTATCATCTCTAGTAGATTTGACTTATGTTAAAAAAGACAGCGTTAGACCTAGAAATACTTGGGCATATTGTATAAAAAATGATCTTAATTTATTAGAATTGAATGAAAATATGACACTCAATATGACACAATGGAGAAAAAGGATTCATGTAGCCAACCCCACTTAGTGTGATAAAGGCTTGTTGTTGTTGTTTTTGCTTTACTTAATACAATGAAATGGTTCTTTATCTTGCTGAAAGTCTCTTACATTTGAAATTCTTTTTAGTTGTAAGGATCAACTGTATGAGTCACTTATTAAATTATTTTTAATTGAGTCATTTTATTTTATATACTTCTCTTCAAATTGTAGAAGATTGAACAAGAGGAGTTTGTCATGTACATTTCTCAAGAGAGTGAACGAACAACCAACACGTATCTGGGCAGTTCCAAATGTATGCTTCAGGGCTTCAACATCTATTCTGATAAATTCTCATTTGAAAATAGTCAAGTTTAGTTAGGTATGTTCTGATTAAATTATGAACTCAATAAATGTTGAAAAATTATGCTGGTTTACTTTCTATTGTTGTTTTTATTGATATTTTAGGAGGAGTAATCTAAACACTTCAACTAAACTTAAAAAGGTTAATATTATGAAATATCCACTTGAATTGTTTCTTTTGATTTCATTATTTCTTTTATGAAACTAATAATATTCTTTATGTATCAGTAATGTCATTTGGGGGCTTAAACGAGATGATGGTTTTCATTCAATTCCTTATCTTTGAGTGTTCTTAGTGATGAGGGAAACAAGCTCAGGAAATGCTTCCTTGAAGTTCACAAATATGCATTAGTTGTCATGGAGAAAAGAATTGGTGGACATTATATGTTACATCATCCAAATTTCAGTAATATTGTTTTGATTTCATCAGCTTTGGTGGATTCTTTGATCTGAGGAAAAATAGAAAGGTAGTTTTTTTTCTTTTTACTTCAGGTTAGGTTTTTAAACAAAAGAAGGCCCAATATGAGGGGGAGGCATTTGAAGATGATTAAGTAAATCAATCTTGCATTCGTGATAATTCACACCAGTGTATCATTAAAAGCAAGAAGAAACTACTTCGAAGATATGGAAAATTCTATGATCAATGGATGCTCAATATTAATGGAGTTTTCTTAGCGTGTGACATATACATGTACTTTGGACGCCGCTCATTGGTGTGAAGTTCAAAATCACTTGGCTTGTTGAGGATGCACGTTGTTAGACTTTAAAATTTTCAAATACTGTTGTAGGAAGCACCAAGTGATTATCTCTTATTTGTCTACAAATAAAATATCATCAAATTAAATGACAAGAAATTTTCTAATGATGGTTTGCAAGACAGTTCATAATTTTCGTGAAGGTTTTATGTGTATTCCTTAATAAAAAGGCTTCACCAATCATTCATAAGAGTCATATTTTATTTAAAAAACAGTTTTCTATTAATTAACTTTATTTTCTAACTTAACGATATTCTTGCAAATCAATTTTATAAAATATCACAATGCTATTCATTATATTTGACATCTCAACCAAATGATATATCAAAAACCTATCTTTGATGATAATTTTATTGATGACTCTATTGTCATCATCCAACTACATATTATTTTGGTGTAAGAAAATTAAGTATAACTCAACATGCTTTTCTTAATAAACCGTTAAAGTAATTTGTGAACATGTCTCTGATGTTTAGCATGTTTTGTTGGTGGTATTAAATTTAGAAATTGTTTAGGACAAATGGTTTTAAAATTACCCACACATAATTATCATCATGTAAAGTCAAAAAAATAGGTACCATATTATTGAATTCTATAACTACTAGAGCTTAGATCACATCTGCTTTCTTGCCCCCTTTCACAAATGCAATTTTACTCTGATTATTCATATAATACTGTATTTGAAGCATTAGATTCTTTTGTAGATTTAGCTTTATTTTGCGCTTTGTAGGCTTCCAAATCGCCGTTCTCCTATTAGTCTTAAAAAAATACGTTAGACCTTCCTAAATAAGTAATTTCTTAATTATGCAATTAAAGTCAGCTCAAAATAATTTATGCAACGTCCATTGGCAGAATATCACACTTGATATAGCTATAGCTATTTTATCTACCTAAGCTATTTATTATGGTTATGAATGTTGTTTAAGTTTCAAATCCATGCATTTTAGGGAATACTTCGATACATCATTCATATGGCTCCATTATCAATTATAAGCTTTCCTTTACATTTGAAAAAAAGTTACAGTTCTCTTTCAATCAAATTCAATATTAGGAATAATTGTGATGCATCAATATCATTCAATGAATTACTAACTAATGCATTCTCATAATCACTAATATCTTAATCACACTAATGAACTTTATTTGAATCATTGGTTTCATTATCTTTCTCTATATTTATATGTGTTGATATGCATATCCATGGATCACATGACTTACCCACAGATTAGGAAATCATGGGTTCGCTGCTACATTCGAGGAGAGAAATTATTCTCTCTTTAATTATCCATCAATTCATTTTATTTCTTTCCTTCTTATCATGATTATTTGGATTTTCCTTCTAATTGTATGAGATATAGTTTGAGCTGTATATATTTGTTATTTGCTTGTATCAGTTCATTGAAAAAATTATAGTTTTTCCTCAACTAAATTCTTTCTAAATTTCACATGGTATCAGATTAAGGAAACAAATCCTAGCTCTTCTTTTAGTCGTCAGAGCATCTTCATCAGCCGTCAAGCAGTCAGAATCTTCCATGCAGCCATCAGAATTCCTCCAACCTACTTGCAGGCCTCTGCTCTTGTTGTCGTCCTCTTTGTCTCGGACTCTCCTCCTCCGGCTCTTTCTTTGCTTCTACAGCACCTAGCAACCTCTGTTGAGCTTCTCTAGTGACCTCTAATCGGTCTTCTCCTTGCCTTAGCAGGACCCAACTAGCTCTGTCGAGCCTTTTGGCACGACAACCCTTCTACTTAATCATCACAACACCCCTAGCCAACTCTAGCAGAGGGATACTTGGGAATTTCTCTCTACTAGGCTTCTTAGAATTGAGCATATGTCTGTTGGATTTTCTCTCTCTGGTGGAAATCCTAAATCTTAGACACCCAACTTTTTAGTTTGTTTCTCTAGTGAAAATTTTGTGTTGTCAATTGACAGTTTCTGCCTCCAGTGGAAATACTTTGTCACCAACATATGTTTTTCTTTTCAATGGAAATCTTATTTTGATGACGGACAATTTCTTTCTTTAGTGGAAATCTTTTGTCGACGATAGATAGTTTCTATCTTCAGTGAAAATCGTCATGATAACTAAGTATGGAATGAAGTTACTTCTGACCTGAAACAAGAATGACAACATCTGATATTTTTGCCTGCATTACCAATCACAAAATACACAACAGCAATTTCTTTAATTGATCTCAATTTGTGTTCATGTACATCTGTGGTATAGGTAAAGAGAAACATATTCAAGTTTTGACAACTATCTGAGTTATTTAACATTAAACTAGATAACATTACTTGCAATAGGGTGGGTTGAATGTTACTCAATACTTTAATACTCTATCTAAATATCGGCTCTAACTAGATATATATGAAACATACATGTGAATGCACTCACAATACTATTATTTACAAAACTATTTGTTGAATAGAAGCAAACAATTAAGTTCCTTCTAGGGTTCAACAAAAAACTTGATGAAGTTAGAGGAAGAATCATGGGAACCAAACCTCTTCCCTCAATTCGTGAAGCCTTTGCTGAAGTACCGAGGGAGGAGAGCAGGAAGAAACTCATGACGGCAAGTAATTTCATTGCATCAACTTGGTTTTGTACACTTACAAATCATCTCATGATAACAAGTCAAAGAGGAATGCTTCTTGGGGTATGAACATTGCAAGAAGCTTGGTCATCAGAAGGAGAAGTGTTGGAAAATTTATAGGAAGCCTATTGATTAGAAGTACAACAAAGTCAAAGGTGATGAGGAAAATCAAGCAAACACAACGTTAAAGGAAGATGAGTCTTGTGAACATAGTCCATTCTGCAAGGAACAACTTGAAGCTCTCTAAAGGCTTATGGGTCAATATTCAGAGCCTTCTACCAACCTTCTAACACATGAAGCTAGCCTTCTATCTATTCTTGTTGTTCTCAACGGGAAGAATCAACCATAGATAGTGGAATATGTTGCTCCCAACACCTGATATTATTTTTTCTATGGGTGTAGTGAGCCAACGTATGAACGATCTAGATGAAGATCATTTAGAAGTGGTCTTTTGATCTCTAAGATACTTAAAGATGATTGTAGGTCATTGATTGATATTAAAGAAAAATTATAACTGTAATATTGAGATATACACTGATGATTGTTGGGCAGAACTGACTGACAAAATATCTACCATGGGTTATTGCTCATTTGTATGAGTTAATCTAGTTCCTTGGAGAAGTAAAAAAAACAAGCTGTGGTGGCAAGAAGTAGTGCAAAATCTGAGTATCTTGCTATGACCCGGGAACCTGTGAAGGGATGTGGCTAAAGAAATTTTTTATGTTACTACACATGGAGAGCAAAAACACTATTAAGAGATTCGGTAATAGGCAATCAACCATCAATATTTTAAAGAATTTGGTACACCATGATCGAACCACACATATATAAATTGACAAACACTTTCATCTTTGAGAATATCAATGGAGGGTCGTCTAACTAAGTAATATACCAACTCAGTACTATATTGTTGGCTTTCTTACCAAAGTCATTCCTCGATACCACTTTAGTGATCTCAGCAGTAATTTTGGAATGTATGTCATATACAACCCAACTTGAGGGGGAATATTGATATACATATTCATGGACCACATGGGCTCATCATGGTTTAGGAAACTGTGGGTTCACTACTACATTTGAGAGAGAGAAATTATACTCCCTTTAATTGTCCATTATTGTGTTTTATATCTTTCCTTTTTATAATGATGAGTTGAATTTTCCCTTCAATTGTATGAGGGTTAATCTGAGTTGTATATTTTTGTTATTTGCTTGTATTAGTTCAATGAGAAAATCAGAGAGTTTTTCCTCTAAGAAAGTGCCTCAGATGTTCCACGATATGCATTTTTATTTCAATCATACATGTCAATGATGCAAAAAATGGTTTGACATTCATTGCGTCTCGCCCTTGGTTCCTTTTGCATGGTGCGGAATGACGCTTGTTATTTGTGCCATGCATTAACATTATCGCATGATGTGTTGCTCCTTACGACACACGTTAAATTGACTTTTTGGATTTAATATGAAAAAAATATTCATAATAATTCATTTCTTTTACATTTGCATATATATCGTTTAAAAATTTATTATTTATTTAAATAGCACTTCAAAATTACTAATACTATTTTTGTAAGTAAAATACTTTAAATTCTAATATTTTATTGTGATTATG